ATAGGGTTCATCCCATTCGGTGGAGAGTTTGAGGATGTTATCAAACCATTTATAAAAGACATTAAACAATTACAACATGGCATTGTGATGAAGATCGGGGAAGAAGAGGTTTGGGTGACTGGTGGATTGGGCTTGACTACGGCTGATCTACCTCAAGGTAATGACCTTGCTGGAATCTTACGTCAAAATGCAAATTATGGATGCAGAACTTGTGAAGTGTTTAAAGAGAATCTTACTGAAATTGATTATGATATTAAAAAGCATGGAAGATATCATCACCTTACTGATAATTATTTTGATTATTTGCACCAATTACATGACATACCTTCATTACAAACAGCTTTTGCAAAAGAGCACGGTTTATGTATTAAGCCAAATGTTTTGGATCAATTATTTCGAGATCGTCATACACAAACACCACAAGATGCATTTCATGCAGTTGCTGGATTGGGAGGCAGATTGCTTAATATTACATTAGAATCTTTTACAAGAGATGGAGAAGCTAAATTTCTTACTGTATAGAAATCATTTGAATTTCCATCATATTGGTCGCGTCAACAAAACCCCATATCATATCGGAACAGTTACTTTATGTCTGATACATTAAGGTTAGCTATAATGATGCCGTTTCTATTACGTAGATGTCTTAACAACCGCTCTATCAAAGATAATATAATTCAACGTATCAAAGAAAATAACCAATTACGATTAAATTCACAAGCAATATCGATGATTAAATAATGTTGGATTAAGTTTGCCATATGTTCAAAAGCAGTATTTGCGGAATTAATGGCTGATAATGATTATGTTAGATTAGATGCGACGTTGCAATACTTGTCTATTGATTTGTTGAAGGTAAAATTTTACTTAGTAATAAGATTTTATTCCAGCAATTACTAACTTCTGATAATTGAAATTGATAGGTATTTCCAGAAGAGTTTTCAAATTTACCAAACCTTCATGTTCTTCGTCATCTTTCTGAGCATGCACGACGCTTTGGTAATCTTATTAATGCATCGGTATCATTGAAAGAAATGGTTCATCGAATATATAAAAGTTATGTACCACATACCAATAAGAAAAATGTGGAATTGGATTTCATCAAACGAGAAAACACATTGCAAAGTCTTAGGTAATAAATTATTTAAGAAATGTCTCCCATAATTATTTATTGATCACTAACTACAATTTATAATTTAAGATATTTAATAGATCGTGGTTTACATAATCATATACAAATTAATGGAAAAATTAAAAGTTTATTTGATGGATGGTATTTAACTTCGCAAGTATATTCAAATGAAGATATTGAAGAAGGTATTATAAGCAACTACGATTTTTAGTTTACTTACAGAATATTAAATCACTTATTTGAAATCTATATAATAATAGATCAAGAAAATAATTTTACGTCACCCTCATCCAACTATATTAATATAAAAGTTCGTAGTAAATGGAACAAACAGAAAATACAAGAAAATGGATTTTCAGGAAGGAAACTTGATGAAAATATGGTTTCAGACATATCATGGACATACGATAATTATTTTGGACAGCAAGCAGCCGTGGCGCATTATAATATTAATTTTTATCAGCATCTTTCTTTTACAATTATAGATGATGATATGATAATCGAAGAAAACATAAAACTTCAAGCAGGTGATGTTGTTGAGATAGAAGGAAAATAAGACAACGATGATATTGAAAATGAAAAATGGTTTGCACGTATTCAAGCAATTTTTGTACACTGATCAAATGACAATAACTATCATGTTTTCTTATTGTTTGAATGGTTTGATTTGATTGGGTTTGATCAAATTATGCAATGTAATAGGTATTTACTTCAAGGACGTAATGAAAATTTGAAGCGAATACATCCAATTTCAATTATAAATTCACATCAAAAAATTCATTTTGTGCATGATTGTGGTACTTCCTGTACATACAGTAGAAAACCATGACATTAACAATAGAAATTACTTCAAAAATGATTTTCTTTATACTGCTGTTTAATAATTATATAGGTATAGTTCGCATTAATAATAAAATATATATATATAGTTCGCATTAATAATAAAATTGTTTTAAGATGATTATTAAATGATATGTATTCTAAAGCCTTCTGCAAGCCTTTTAAAATTGTTTTGTAATATTTTAACAATGAGCTTATTAGTACTAATAAGAATATTATGAAAATAACATAAAAGGGCATTTTAAAATGCTTTTAAAATACTTTTTAAAGGCCTTTCAAATGGTTTTTAAAAAAATTAATATTTTAGATAAG